TTGGAGAAAAAAGGTCTCCTACCGTACACATGTGCACATGCCACCCTCCCTGCGGCGGGGGGTCCGGCAACGTGCATCGGCGTGGCGGGGGCTGGAGAGGGTTTCTTCGCGTGTTCGGGGTGGGCAGGAACGCCGGGGGCATGAGCAGGGTAAGCGGCAGGCGAGAAGGCGGTGGCGAGGACTAGGCTTGCGAGGTCGAGGCTGGGAGGGAGAGAGGGCCATGCGTGCGTGGATTTCGTTTCTTGACCCGCACTGCTGCTGCTGTTGTACATACCTGTGTGGGTGGTAGCAGTGGCCAAGGCCCACGCGATTCTGTTGCAACTGGTCAGCCGATTGGTTGGGACGGTTGCCAACTGCTGTCGCTTCACCTGACCTGGTGCGAGGCGACGGCGAACGCAGCGCTGAAGGATGCCTGCCACTCCGATCGGGCGGGCGTGGCGCAACAGGCGGCGTGTGTGGTTTGTTTTTGAAGTACTGGCACTTGCTCTGCCCCCCGGCGGTGGTTGGACCTCGGGTGGAGGTCGTCCAGCCCTGCGCTTGAGTTTTTTTGGCGTGTCTCGTCCTTTTTTTCTCAGTGGGCAGGGGAGACAGAGAGACGGCGGAGGAAGGTCGATTTCATCGTGCATGCCTCGCCCCTGGTCGAGAGTCGTACCGCAGGAAGAGAAGCAAGTTTCACCAAGGAGAGAGACAGAATTTCGAGAAAGGGTTGGGCGTTGATAGCCGTGCGATTCGTCAGCCTAGTGCGAGGCTTTGTCTTCGTCGTCTTGCGGGGGTCGGTCAAGTCTTTTCTGTTGGAAGAGTTTGTTCTTGGTGCTCTAGTTGGCCCAGCTGTCGCTGCTTCTGCTGTTGCTGCGCGCCGTCTTTTGTGGAGGGATCCGTCCGGCCCAGCCATGAAACGACACGTAGGGTAATGGTGCGACTTAATTCGATGCGTGCGTGTCTCAGCGTAAGATCGGCGTGCGCGCTCCCTTTTTTTTTTTTGCGGTCGTTGCTCTGGGTTGATGGAATGAATGAGCACGCGTGGGTGACTCTTTTGGATGATAAGGACGGCCTAGTTTCCGTTCCTTACCATGGGCCACACAGACCTGGTAGGGGTTCGGGTTTGCGACAGCATTAGCTCGCTGTTAGCGTTTGCTGCGCTAACTTCGAAAACGTCCGATTTGCTCTCTGCGGAGCACATGTCGCATGTCGCTTGCTTGCTGCACGAGTTTGTGCTAGGTTTGGTCGTTGGTAAAAAGAAACAGATAAAAATGTTATTGGATTCCACGTTACAGGTAGCTTGGATGTTTACAGGTAGCTTGGATGTTTTGTTTTCGGTGCGGAAGGTTGTGTCTGATCCGTGGTTGAAAGAGTTGGTTGTTCGTGTCGTACCCGGTTTTGGAGTTCCTGTCGGATTTGTTTGGGTCGGGAGGAGTAAGTCACGTTGTCGAATGGGTGGTGGAGTACATTGGGGGGGGGATACTTCGCACTCACAAAGAACTCTGGGCTGCTTTGGTAGAAGACAAGCGCACATGAGCCGCACCCTCCTCTGCAACTTCACCTGCATGTATGCGTGCGTTTATGTAGTTTTTTGGGGCGTGCGGCGAGGGGACTGATTGGCTGATAACAGCGGGAGGTTTCCGCGTGGCAGGTTAACATCTACATACCGGGATGAACATTTACATTCACGTCGCCTGTCAGCAGCTAACGGGACAAGGATTGAGAAGAGCTGCGTGTGTGTCCGTTCGAGCGACGCCTCAAGAGCAAGGTTACAAGGTGGGATCTATCTGCGGGAGTCTGATTTACCGAATTCCTGTAAGAAGATGATAGTTTTGTCAGGCGGGGGGGTGGTTGTTGCGGTACGCATGGCGCGCATAGTTCGCGTGTACTTCTATCTATATTATGAGAGGTCGTAGTCCTGGCTCGTTTTGGTCTCTCTCTTGTTTTCCGATGGCACGGCGGCGCGGAGACCAAGCTCCAGCTCAAGCATGCCACCTCAACTGCTGGCGGTACTGTGGTACATGGTGTATATGGATACCAGGTCTTGCTGCTGTCTGCTTCACGTCATTTTCGGATTTCCTGTGTGTGTGTCCCCCCCCCCCCCTTCCCCCTCGGCAATTTTCGTAGGTCTTAGCATAAGTTGGGTCTTGTGCTATCCCATCATTTTTGGCGCTTTGCTTTGCTTTGCGATTCGTTCGTCGATAACGTTTGCAGCAGCTGTGTTTTGTACTGACACACAAGCACTTTGGTCGAGTTCACACTTCTTTCTTGTTATAATTAGTTCGATGCGTTAGGTCGCATGGTGCTACTTCTTTTTTCAAGTTGTCTCTACATGATGATGGTGTTTGTGGTTATCGGAGGGAGAGAAGCAAGGTAGACACAGCACGATACGGGCATTTGAATGGGTACTACGTACACGAAAGGCTTGTTGTCGGAGCTCTCGAGTGTGTGCCCGACTTTGTCGTGCATGTTTTTCTCTTGCGAATAAAATTGCTCAAGTCAGGTACATGGTACCGACACCCAGCAGGATTTAATAGCAGCATCGTGGGTTCGATTCTCTCTGCGGAGGTTTGTCCCGGGACTTATGTCCAGCAACCTTCAGTCTAAAGCGATCGAAGTCGTGAGTGAACACACTTCGGCTTACGGTCGACGAGGGAGGGGATGGATGAACCCTTGTCGCGATAAGAACTAAGGCAAGCACCGCCGGGGGAAGGGTGCGGCAACATGCTCAAAATCTCCTGTGCTCGGGTCTTCCTCTTGTATTGTGTGACCCCGGCTGATACGCCAGGTATACACTACGCCGAAAGGCCTGTAAACCATGGCCAGAATAGATAAATGGGACGAACACATACAAACAACACACATTGAGGTGTGAGCAGATGGGCATGGTCGGAGAGAGGGAGCTTCGCATGGCGTTGTCGAAAAAAAATCCAAACTGTTTGTGAAGTTGTCCAGAATGGCAACATTTTTTGGACAGCTATACTTACGCATCATGTACAACGTAAGAAGTGGCCAGATTACTCTCTCAGTCACGTATTATGGTTTTATCAGTCAAAAGGAAACCACGTGTTTACAGCAGAGTATCCTTATACTCATTTTCCAACCTTGTTCATCATACCAAACTCTTCCTACCTGTGCTGTATTTTGTATGCCTCCATCTCTGACGCAAAAGGCCAGGGAAGGATAGAGGTCGTTCTGTGCCGACAAGCCCTTTCGCTCTGCCGCAATGTTTGTCAGGTATTTAAACCTCGTAGGACACAAGATACCTCCCTTATAGCAGGAGACTGATTTCCACGAGTGACGTTGCAGAAAATGTCGGCGTTGCACCCGTCTCGTCGAGCAACTTCCGAAAACGTATCGTTTGGTTTACAGAGACGTATATGTCTTCTTCGTCGTGGAGTAATCGAGCTCTGACACGACGACCGGTGCAGGGTGTGTGATATCTAACGTCATGTCCCCCATATAGCCCTGGTAGCCCGGAGTCTCAATCGCGTGCCCCCTCTCGAAAGCTCCATCAGCTGTGTGTAACTCTGCGACTGTGCACAGCAACACCGGAGACACACGCTAAACATGGGACCCACGCCCGACGTACGAGCGAGGGAATTGGTGGACGAGTTCTTTGAAAAGCAAGATGAACCACAGTACATGCGAAACGTCCTAAGCGGGCTCTCGGGTATCATGCTGGTGAGTTCACAACTGGAAAGAGTTACCGTGAAACGCGGATCAATTACGCAGCAGCAGTTGTTAAGCAAATAAGTGCACAGCAATCGTCTCCCACACATGCTCCCCATGAGCAACCAGCAGTAGTGTGCCCAAAGTATTTTGGCCTTTCCTCCTTTCACTGCAGAGGTACGGAAGAGATCTATTGCGAAGTTGCGCAGATCCCCCACGTTCAGCGTAAACGGCGGGTGTGTGACGGGGCACACCCTGAGTCCCATTAGATATGGCGGCGGTACTCCCACCAACCACCACGCCAGCTTCTGCTAAATTCTGGTGTTTTGCCGCCAGGGTTGCCCAGCTGTGCGCTTCTTTTCGTCCCCATGTAGAAGCAAAGAGGCCTTGGGTCAAGTTAATAATTTTGAGTTTTTGATACGAAGTGGAAGTGCACTTTATTTTCCCTGTAATTACCAACCATTTTGAAGAGCGGCGTCACGGCACTCCCTCTCCGCAACTGGGACTTTTCGTCGCCACAGCAGCATCCAAATAAAAATAAGCGGATATCGAATTCATTCTTGCGTACGCAACGTTCGGCTTGGATCCTCTTCTCGCGACGAAGAATAAAGGGAAAACGACACAACAGGGTATACCCTGGTCGAAAAGCGACACACCTGGGTACACAGTCATTAACAGCAGTAAATGCACTCATATCATTGGTCAGCGCCCAATTCACCCCGGTGCGTCCGAAAAGGCGCAGGGTATACCCTGCCGTGACTACTTTTCTCAGCAACTGTACCCTGTTTTCGGAAATGTACCCTGACCTGACGGGAAAAGAGACCCTTTCATCAATCATTTCCCCCGCAGGAATCTTCCCAACTCCTTTTCCCCTCCAACCATGGGATACCAAACGGCGAATCTTCCCGCCGAATAACAACCATGGCAACGGGGCAGGAATCAGTTTCCGCCCCTGCGAAACAACACCAACCATCAACTCTTCCGCTCGAAATCAACAATGGCCGGGCAACACCCCAGCACAATTGCTCCGTTTGGAAACATGCACACACGCGTACAATACCCCGTGGACTACTGCTTGCTGCAGTCTATGTGCGAGATGCACGGGTCACGCTATGAAAGCAAGACCGATTCACCATGGTTGACATGCATATGCATTTGTGCGGGCGTGTGTTGTCGGTTGTGTCTCAATTGCGATGTGCCGTGTGTGCGTGCGTGTGTTGTCTGTTGTGTCTCAATTGCGATGTGTTTCTTGCTTGAACTACTGCTGTAGCAGCAGCGGTCACGCTTACCAGCCAACCAAGCCGACCAATCAATCAATGTAGTAAGAAGACGTCAGGCTTCAGCGGGATGAGCCGATGAAATTCAACGCGAGCACTCTTCTTTCTATCGACAGGGAGGGTGATTGAGTTGGACGACACCGCAGTGTCCTGCTGCTAGAGTAAGGATAAGACTCGTGTGTGCGTGATTGATGTCAAGGGCATGTCTGTGCGTGCTGGTCCTGCCTCTCCTGCGGGCGCGAGCTCGCCGCCAGCACAGCGCCACACATTGGCACGTGCATATATATCCATGTCAACCATGCTGAATCGGTCCGCTTTCATAGCGTGACCCGTGCATCTCGCACATAGACTGCAGCAAGCAGTAGTCCACGGGGTATTGTACGCGTGTGTGCATGTTTCCAAACGGAGCAATTGTGCTGGGGTGTTGCCCGGCCATTGTTGATTTCGAGCGGAAGAGTTGATGGTTGGTGTTGTTTCGCAGGGGTGGAAACTGATTCCTGCCCCGTTGCCATGGTTGTTATTCGGCGGGAAGATTCGCCGTTTGGTATCCCATGGTTGGAGGGGAAAAGGAGTTGGGAAGATTCCTGCGGGGGAAATGATTGATGAAAGGGTCTCTTTTCCCGTCAGGTCAGGGTACATTTCCGAAAACAGGGTACAGTTGCTGAGAAAAGTAGTCACGGCAGGGTATACCCTGCGCCTTTTCGGACGCACCGGGGTGAAATTGGGCGCTGACCAATGATATGAGTGCATTTACTGCTGTTAATGACTGTGTACCCAGGTGTGTCGCTTTTCGACCAGGGTATACCCTGTTGTGTCGTTTCCCCCCAAAAAACTCAAATTTCTACCTGTATTCTCTGCTACGGGTACCAACCGGAATTGTCGGTCTCAGCGAGGGTCTTGACTCCATTGCCATGCGGACTCCGGCTCCTCCCACCCACCGGCAAAAAACCCTGCTGCTGCTCGCCACCCTGGTAAGTGCGCCGACTACAACGACAAATGCCTACGCTGCCCCCCCTACATCTGGAAGCGCGTTGGCAGAGATCTGTGATGACTGTGCAGCTCCCCCCTTCATCTGGAGAACCGCCCAACCGAAAAGCCCTGCGCTGCCCCCCCTTCATCTGGAGGCACGCCGGTGAGTTGCCCTCCCCTACATCTGGAGAGCGTGGACCCGCGTCGCCCCCCCTAAATCTGGGGGCGCGCTGGTGAAGAAAAGTTGCCCTCCCCTACATCTGGAGAGCGTAGACCCGCATCGCCCCCCCTACATGTGGGGGCGCGCTGGTGAAGAACTGCTGCCCTCCCTTACATCTGGAGAGCGTTGACCCGTGCTGCCCTCTCTACTTATGGAGGTGCACTGGTAAGGAACTACTGCCCCCCACGTCTGGGGTGCGTCGGCTGGCGCTGCCCCCCCTACGTCTGGAGGCGCGCTGTTGTGTAACCACTGCTGTACGTCCCCCCCCTACATCTGGAGGGCGTATGCTGATGCCCTCCTCCCTTTTTTCTGGAGAGAACACCTTGTGCGATATTTGCGCTACCCCCCCTACATCCGGGGGTGCGTGTTAGTACCCTCCCCTACATCTGGAGAGCACACCTACGAAATTTTGCGCTACGCCCCCCTTCGACTGGGGGTGCGTGTCAGTGTCAGTACCTTCCCCTACATCTGGAAACCACAATTTTAAGAGCTCACGTCGCCCCCCCTACATTGGGGGCGTGGAGAGTTGGGGCTGGGTACGGTGGGCTCCCTACCTTACAAGGCCTCACGCTTATCTAGCTTATCCTCCGAGAATAAGACCGCCATAAACGCTCGGATAACTACAGTTGTTGCTCAACAAAACACTCACACTCAAAAATGGAAACGCCCGAACCGCGAGAATCCCCTTTCGAAAACATCATTGGCTGTATCATCGTAAGCGAAACTACAGACGCTCTACGAACGCCAAATCAGAAATAGAAACGCCTGAACTGCGAATCCCCTTCAGAAACTTTCGGTATCATTCGTCACAAGCAAGATCACTCAAGAAATCACTCACGCATCAACCAGAAATGTGAAGTGTCCGCGGCAACGCCGCGCTGTTGTTAACCCTCTTTCAAAAGCAAAGCAGTATTGCGCGGTTTTGCTCCTCTGCGACAAGTCGACATTCACCAGAATCGCCATGAATGCATTACTCCAGCTCTCTCGGAGCGAGTACTTTTTCCGCGATCAACAGGTTCATGTGTTGTGCCGCCCGCTACTCCACCGCTGACGCCGCCGCTGTCCCGAGCGCCAGGGCCCACAGTCTCGGGTAGGTTCCCTGCGGCGGAACCCCTCCCGGTTCCCCCTGGGATTCCAACCGCACCCCCCACGGCGCTCCCGTCCCCCACGACGCCGTGTGACCCTCCTCTTCCTTCGTCTCGCGTGGGCTGCTGGAGCAAAAGTCCCTCGAAGCTACCGAGTGGCTGCTCCATCCTCGCCTCGGCCCTGGTCTGCTTCTCCTCAAAGCGTTCTGTCAACGCCCGCTTAACATCTCCGAGTTTAGCGGCGAGCTCCTGCTGCGAGACTCCTCCCGACATGTTGCTGGCACGGGCTCTTTCGTTTCCTTGCAAGGTCGATGGAGGAAGAAACTCTAGAGTGTTAATCACTCCTAGAGCCGGGTGTTTGCCGGGTATGCCCGTATTTGTGTCCAGTTACTAGAAAGTCTCGTTGATGGCTTGCATTTGATCCGCAGGACAAACGCACGGCAGACAGAGGAGAAACAGAGTGCCCCACACAGGCTCACGCAGCATGGGGGCAGCGCAGAATCATCCAAGTCTACCACAACAGGTATCACAGCAGGTCCCTTCATCTACGGAACACAGAACCGTCCTCAGATCCTTCCTACATATGCACACACACGAACAAGTTTAGTGTACTATTTACTGTCTACAACACATCCCTTCTCGTACACGCCGCAACCTCGAAAACGACGACCCTCCTTTCTTTGACGCCCCCTTGCCCGAAGGTTTTCACAGCGGCGTTTTTCATATGCGCCTTGGTGGTGGCATCGATCGACAACGCCGGGTTCGACGTTGTCCTTACCGGCCTGCTCCTGTGCGTGTGGGAAGTCGGGGCGATGTGGCTCCTCAAGCGCGGGCCGCATGACACTTCGGTGCGTCGTTGGTTTCGCGAGAACAATAGATTGTGGGCTGCTCCGCTTGCTTGAACAGACTATTTCTTTTACCCGTTTGTTTTTATTCCCGTGTGAAATTGGTGGTGGTTCGAGCACCTGTGTGTGTGTGTGTGTGTGAACAGGCAAGCTGCTTGTTTCATGTAGCGGAAGGGGGGCCAGCGTTGTGCGGAGAGACGGTGCAATTGCTGTTCAACGCGACGCTAGTATTCACGAGTACATTTCCAATCCATGCCGTTTGTTCCTCTACTTCTTGTGGCCCCATGATGCCTTGAGAATACGACCCCATTAACCGAACAATGGCAACATTCCGGTCTTTGCGCTTTGGTCGATGCGTGCCAGGTGTCAAAATTGCAACATTTTTCAAAGCATGGCGGTGCGTTGGTGCACAGCTTCTTTTTTTTCGATTACCCCTCTTCACCCCTGCACGTTATTTCGCTGCTGTACCCCCCCCCACCGTTTTTTTGTGTTGAACTCGTTATCCTCAATAAACATTCTACCCGATATTCCGCCCGCGAACGGGCTGAAACTGACTGAAACGTGGACACACGCATGCCTATTTGTACTACACTCGCAGCTGGGGTTCCTGATCGGAGTGACCCTCGTGCTCAACGTCATCACTCTCATGACGGCCATCTACTGGGTGAGTCGGCATCGGGCAGCAGAAAGGCGGCGGGCCTGTTGATGAGGCGTTAGCTGTCGGTTTTTGCCAACGGGCACGAGCGCATTGAAGGGTTTATGTTAGACTTCTGGGATGGGCATGTGTGTGTGTATGTTATTTTTTCTTGTTATCATCGACCGCGCTAACCGGCCGACCAATGAAAATACTTCAGTCTCAAATTGAAAGAAGAAACCGCCTCCGAAGTATGTGTGTGTCACCCGTAACACCGGCTAGGAATGATTCGCCGTCACAAATGTCCGGGATTGTTCCCTTATTTTGTTTTGTTTGTCGACTATAATAGCCAGCTTGCTGACAACACCAACCTTTCGCGCGCGAGTGTGTCAGTTCCTGCGGACACGCCCCCTCGTTATGCGAACACCGCCGCCACGGGCAGGCCGGCCGGGGTACGATGCTTCGGCCGCACAAACACCGTATCGCCCTTCTTACTCTATCCCTCCGTTGTCTGCACACGATATCGCCATCGCCATCGCCATAACTTTATCCCTCCGTTGCGTGTACACGATGTCGCCGTCGCCATTGTAACCACAACTCTTATCCCCCGGTTGTCTGTCTGCGCGCGATATCGCCACATCATCATTAACTCTATCCCTCCGTTGTCTATCTGCACACGATATGTATGTATCGTCACATCACCATTGTCCACCATGCCTGGCAGGGACAACTGGCGGGGTGTGACTCCGACTACGACGGGGACTACGACCAATACTCGTGTTCAAATAAGTCGGCGATGCGGGGTGTTGCGGCCTTTGCATCCATCATTTGGGTGCTTCAGGTACATACGGGTGGTGTTTATGTGTAGTTTTGAAATCCTCGGCACTGTTGTTGTATTTGGAGTACCGCACGCCCTTCTGCCGTGTACGTGTTTTTGTTTTGTCCTGTTAGTTATTTTCCATCGCAAGATGGTGTTTTCGAGCATCATTCCAAAGCTTTTTTTTGACAAATTGTCAACGCCACGCGAGGTGCAGCTGCTCCTTGCCGACCGGGTGGATGAGGCTTAACCTCACGTGCTGCTTTTACTGCAAGCGCTCTATCATCGCGAAGCCCGTCTTTTTGACGATTGTTTACAATCTGTACTAGAAAAACTCAATTTGTTGCAGTCCTAGCGCTGTACGTAGCTTGCTGTCCGGGGGGAAATGTCTCCGCACTCACAAAACATCACCCCGACAAGAGAAGCTTCCGCTCTGTGCGGCAGCGCCGCGCGTTCACTTTTCGCCGTCTTTTTTGCCGTTGTCACCCTCCAAGTACGGACGGAGACAACAAACTGAACCGCCTATCCCCCGCCTCTCTCTTTGGCGCCTCTGGTCTCGACCTTCCCCTTTGTCTGACCGGCCGCCCGCTGCATGGCGTCTCTGTGTGCTTCTGGTCCTGCTGCTCCCGCCACCGCCGCCGCTGCTGTTGCTGAAGCTGCCCTTCATCTACCTTCTCGTGCAACGACGAGGGGTGCTCACAAGGGAAGACTATGCCACATCAGGTAAGCACAAAAGAAAACGCGCGGGCTGGTCGGTCGGATGTGACTTGGGTCCGGAGGTACCAACCCTGGTTGGATAAGGCGGGAGCGGGATGGTGGCTGTCGTCGCAGAAGATGTGGTGAAAGGAAGCGTGTCCCCTCCCCCCGATAACTAACGCCTTCGAAAGTTGTCTCCATCTTTCCTTGGTTCCAGAAGGCTTTTCTCATGTCGCTGTGGTGTTCTCGGCCGGAGTTGATCTCGCAGTCCCGCGGAGAAGGTGCTTGTGACGACAAACGCAACAGGGCGTGTGGGTGTCGTTTGTCGAGTTTTTGGCGAGCTTTTTGCTCGCTGCTGCTACTGCTTGTGCTTTGTGGGCTCAAGCCGTGGTGTCCGTCGACGTAGTAGCTTGAGCAAACTCGTGGGAGAGGAACCCTGGTGCACAATTGTCTCTGGAAGGCTTGCATCGCGGTAGTCTTGGCGCAGTCGTTTTCTCGCAAGACTCTTCGTTTCGTGCTCAACTACTTGCCCCCGCCCCCATGATGTTGCTTGATTGAAAAATTACCCGTGCCGCTTCGTATTGCACCGCCGAATTTGTCGTTTCACGTGATTTTTCTTTGCCGGCGTGCGGTTGTTGTGTGGGTGCGCCCTTTGTCCAGGCGGGCGCTACGCGGATTACGACGATCCGGCTTTCGCGCCGGGGGAAAGGGACAGCGGGGGCTGGGGTAAGCCGCCAGTAGACGATGGGTCTCCGCGGGTCGGGGCTGTCGTTGGCTCCAGCTCCGGCACACCCGAAACGACGGACCTGTGATGTGAGGCACCATCCAGGCCTGTGATCAGCAAGCCACCCCTGCGATCAACAGGTCGACGCAGCGACACGCGCAAGAGCAACAAGCCGCGGCCTTGTGAATATCGAGCAAGCCAGGCAGACACACGCCAAGGGCCTGTGGCCAGCTGTAACGGCCGGCCGGCCGGGGGTGCCCCGAAGATGAGAATGCTACGAAGGGGTGTTGTTTCTGTTCAGGTCAAGGTTCGTTTTTTTCCTTGCGTTGTTGGTTCCCTTGCTGCTCTCAAGTACGATTTGAGTCAGGGTTCGATTGGAACTCAGGCGTTGAAATCTGTTGATTGATTTTGCGTTTGGAACACCGGCGGGCGACGGAGCATACATGCCCCATAGTATACTTAGTTCAATCAGCGCTTTTTTGTAAGAATTTCTCATCAAATTGTATGCTGTTTCGAAATTTGGAATAATAATCAGTGCGATCGTCAATCAAAGTGCAAGAGCGTTTGTATGCAAACTTCTGGTGCCTGCTTCTAGAGAGCCACGTCAGCGTGTGGCTCAATGCTGCCACTCGCCTTCGTTTTTGTGGATTTAAACCTGGGAACTTTGTCGCACGATTGGCCCTCCCGCGTGGTAATGACGCGATCAGATGTAGCGCTGCGTGCTGCAGTCATCGTGCAGGAGGACTACTGTAGCGTGGACGAAGATGGTACCGGGGCAAGTCTGTGGTGGGGTGATGTGGTATATATCGTTTTCGCAGTGGCGGGGCAAGGGTTTAGTCATGGTGTGGGGGATGAGGGGCGTGCTCGTTTGTCGTGAACCACCATATGCATTTTGTACATGCCTTCCGAAACGTGGCAGGTACCGTTGCACGTTGTACCAGGCGTTTTATTTGGTTTTTGTAGCGCCTCCTTGAGGGAGTCTCTCCGCCTTACGATTCTTCCGACAGGAAGTCGGGATCGTGGGTTACAATGTATGTACATGTATCATCATCATGCCGACAAGAGCGTGAGTCGTCTTGCCAACCTCCTTCCACCCGCATGCTTGGTTTCCGTTTCGAAAACCGCCAAGTCTGTTCAGCATTCTAGACACGAAAAGCACGCTTGCTTCTCCTCTCTCCTCCCACCGTCTGGCCACCTATGTATGTACAGCGCAATAACAAGCCTACATTTCGCACACGAATCACTACAGTACGCTTGTTGTGCGCTCCCTGTTTTCGAGTTGACCCCTCCCCCCCACTCCCACCACGCCTTGCAACTTCACAGCACCCTCAAAAGGAGCAGAAGCACGTGCGAGTAGCCCTCCGTGCATCGAAGCTAGGAGATGGAACCATGGCATCATTCCCATAACGGTCGAACTACTGTAATACTGCTGTAGGTTTTGGTCGGTCACACAAACCCGCCACCGCCGCAAAATCGCGACAACCAAAGCTAGGAAAACTTGACGTTTGGTTGCGATTTCTTCTGTTGGTCGTGTCTATCGTGCCACGACTTGTTGCCAATTTACTCTCTGCGTCATGTTACGCCGCTCTCATGTCGCCGCAAGAAAACTACTTTATTCAGCCGGTCAGGTCGGCGCTGGCACTGCGGGCAAACGCGGTTGGTTGTCTACACTGCCCACCCAAGGCTTCCCTACTCCCCAATAACCCCCGCGGGGGGGGTTCCGCCGCAATTCCAAAAAAGTGTCATATTAAGAAAAAAAAAAAAAAATGAAGACGACGCCCGAGCGCTTCTGGACGATACGTAGTATGTAAATCGACAAAGTGAAGGCATACAATCGTGGTGACAAAGCTCAGTCCCTTTCCCCACGTGACTCAAGCAGATAATCCGACCGCACCGGAACGGGATGATAACCCCACCTAGTGCTGTTACCTCTGAAAGAAACTTACGCCCTCTTGAGGGAAGTACCAGCGAGCTTCACGAACGAACACTGCAGGTGGTGCGACGGAAGATACTGACCGATCACCACCGACTGCTGTCCCCTCCCCTTTCGTAGAAAATCTGCTGCCACCATCGTAGATGGCCTTCCGTAACGGGAGGAGGAGGAGGAGGAGGAGGGAGATCGTGGTCTATTTGCACCCACCTTTCAGCTAGTCTTATCAAGGGTTCGAACACCGCTTCACACTCACGTTGCTTCGGCTTCGGGGCAGAATCCCTTCTACAATAACCCCTGGCGGAAAAAAAACGATTCAGCGCGTGGCAACTCAGATGCCGTGTTTCTCCGTAACTTACGTGACGAAACTCAATGCTGCTACACTGAAGTCAGCGTATCTCACAGGCTTGAGCGCCATCAACCAACACCACTCTGTTGAGACCGGGCCTGGTGGCGGGGGGCGCCACAGGTGGTTCTACCAACAGAGCGCGCTCGCTACTGCGCGTCCGTGCTCAGTTGCGATTATTGCCAAGTATGGTAAAAGTTGTTGCGTGCTTCCGGTGCATGTCTATCCGAGCAAGGCGGGCGGAAGGGACGACGGGGCCGGGTGGGAGAATCGTCGGAACCGAACGTCAAGAGATATTCATTAGGTACACCGCTTATTCCTACCGGCGTTTTTGAAGCCCGCTCAACCAATCCAGCCCGACCGCCCCCCGGTAACGACGCAGCTTCAAATAGTGAAGCCAATCCCCACCTCCCTGTCGACAACCTACCTAGCTTTGCGAAACTGCTAGGCTACCGCTGTGTATTTCTGATGATGGCCGCCTTCTCCGAGGCGTCGAACTTTGCATCCGGAAACTGGGCCTTCAACTCGGCCAACGTTTCGAGTGCTTCCTGGACTCTTCCCTGCCGCACGTTTCCAGTTTAGTTCGATCGAAAAGGGCCAACAAACCGTTCAGCGATTTTGGTGGAGAGAGAGGGGGGGGAGGCGCTGGGTTATGCAACACCATCAGATGTCCCGTACACGCGTAACAGGGGATGGGCGTTTGTGAGGAGTGTGGAGGGGAATAGCAAACGGAGGAAAGAGCTTTGTCGAGAGGCAAGACGTTTTGGTGTGGAATGGCGACGACAGCAACAATAGCAGCAACAACAGCAGCAGCAGCAGCAGCTGCAGCAGCAACGAATACGCTATCCGAGAAGGGTTTGTATCAGCCTGGAACAACAATAGCAAATCGATAAAAACACGACTGACAGGAGCGAAACAGCTGCGTACCCGCACATAGGTCCCACCAGACTCATCCGCACGAGGTCTGCGCTCCTTCGGGAGGGACTAAGCTAAGAAGGGGCGAACGAGGATGCCGCAAAGAAAATCATCATATTTCGAGCAGTTAAACCTCTCTCCCGCGCAAAACATCTCCTTTTAATCTATCTCTCTTACCGTGTCGACCAGAACATCAGCCAGGTTAAGCCATGCTGCTGTGTGTGCCGGCCAGAGCTCCACCGCCTCGCGAGCCGAGGCCTCGGCCTCCTGTTGAGATGTGATTAAGGGTTCAAAGGAAAAGGGGGTGACGTCAGTGACACTCGCATCAAACGATTCTTGTGCAGGAGCACAGCGCCGCGCTCATTGTTAAACAAGTTAAGCGTGATTCATGCACAAGAAAGAGGTCTTGACCCCCCCCCCCGCCCTCCTCACGCGACGTCGCTGGAGAATCCCAGGGCACCGGTAACTTGCACCCGCTATGCATCCGCTATGAGGGCTGGCAGATGGTTCTCCTTCGTGGGATGAGAGTGTTAGACCAGGAGTGACGGAAAAAGCCGAAGATGATCCGTGTTTCCATGCCATCAAGGACTAACGGGTGGGCAATACGGAAAACCCAAACAAACTCTTGTTTCGAGAACCTACATGCCACAAGTTCTAAACTAGCAGAGCGCCCGACAGTGTGTCTCTGTTAGGAGGAACAGAAACGGCACTCCGTCCCGCAAGGGATCCTTGGTCGATGGCCAAATGACGAAGGCAAGTACCCCCCCCCCCGTACTTGGACGGCTTCATGGACTACGCGAAAAAGCTGAAATTGCAATTTCGAGTAGGCGATCTGGACTTGCCAGAACGGAGGAAGAGGTGTACCAGCCGTAGGAGAGAGGAAGAGGAGGATAGACACACATGTCCATGTGGCAAATCGGAGGAGAGTAGACCCCACATAGTTGGGGAGTGTGAGTTGTACAGGAAGGAAAGAGAGGATCTCGAGGAGGAAATGAGACAGAGAGGGTGTGACATGGACAAGTTTGGTAAATTAGACAACAGCGAAAAAACGATCGCGATAATTGGGAGTAGATGGTGGGCACAAGAGGCCCTAGAGGGCGGGGATAACATGTGCAAGAAATTTTTATGGAGTTTGTGGCAGAAACGTGAAGAGCTCCCAAATGTTGGTGGTGTCTCTAGTAGGGGTAGGAACGGTGCTCCGTCAGGAAAGGGACGCGTGGTCAACGGTAAAATGACTAAGGCAAGCAACAAATGAGTACGCCCCCCCCCTCCCCCTCGGCCTTGTTTGCCATCGGGGTTTGGGTTTTCGTCGCTTGGCAACGACGTTGTAAAACAAGCCCCCCCCTCGGTGTTTGCCATCGGGATTGGGTTTTTGTCGCTTGGCAACGACGTTGTAGCACAAGCCAATTCACTTCGTGAACTCGGCAACCAGGTTACCGTTTTTGTTTTTACCTCGTTTTTTTTGTTGGCGGTAACCATAATGGTGGTCGAGTAGATCATGTTGTGCGGGGTGGAGAACCCTCACTCCGCGCAAGGGGGATGACCGCATCACGTTGTGTTAAAATGGCCAAGCATCCTCGAGGCAGTTACACAGTGCTTACAACTGTCTCTGGAAGTGAAAGCACCAGAAAATAAATTAAGTCATACGTAGCTGTCATCCGTACGCAAGGAAGTAAGCACAAGATGCCGAACACCCTTGGCAGGATGCAGCTCACCCTTCATGCGACTCGCCAAATACCTCACGGCGCTTCGCGCTTGGTGATGTGAGAGCCTGGTCCGGCGAGAACCCGGCGTGCTCCGTCCCGGCTTTGTAGGGATGCGAGGTCAATGGTCTAACGACTACGGCATGCACGACAATGAGTACACCCCCCCCCCCCCGCGCCCCCCCTTCTAGAGGTGCAAGTTCCTGCCGATCAAATCAACCGCTTGAGAGTCACACGCTGTGCTCCCGCTTGTTTGAACACGCCTCTAAGGCGCTGCTCCAGTCCACGCTCATGTTTTCACACAAAGCCTGCGCTTGCGTCATTCCCATCACCAATGAAGGGTTTGGACGTGTTCGGAAAATCACGGCGTCCAAACGATAATAGCATACCTCGAGCGTGACAGACGCTGCAGCTGCAGTGCTCCCGGTGCCCGCAGCCCGGCTGCTGCCCCTACCCCCCTCCTTCGCCAACAAGCGCATCGCGCTCGACTGCTTCACCTTGGCCACGCTAAGCGCGTTCGTGCTCCCTGCCGAGCCAGCAACAGCAGCGACAGAAGCAGCAGCAGCAGCAGCAGCAGCAGCAGCATGTGCAAGGACACGCCGGAGGAAGGGAGGGAATACGACAGGAGTGAGAGGGTCCAACAAAAACAAACAAGCCTGCCAGCCAGCCAACAATGCGGTGTTCCCGAAACATCAAATCATGCTTCATGCTTGGGCGGATCCCTCGCGGTCATGCTTTGATGACTGCTCGATGAACAATCGCAGGGGGCGGGGGGGGGGGGGGGGGTACTTTCATGTTTCGTATTCTTTTGCGGTTGGACCATTGACCACACGTCCTCGAGAGGACGGAGCATTGTTCCCACGGGACCGATCACCGATGGCCAAATCGTACTTTCCCAAAGGTGGCTCAAAAATGTTTCCCCCTAGCCTATCTATCCGATCGTCGCCGGGACGGGGGGGAACACTCTTCGATGAACCACCTACACACCCTCGAAGGCTCCGGCTGTGTCGATGCACTGATTGTAGCACGCCAACGCCTCGGCGAACAGGCCTCGCTTGAAGAGAACGTCTCCCTTCGACACATGGCCAAACGCCCCCACGAGGGTGTCCGCAACCGGGACACCAAAATCGATCTGATCGCAACACGCAGCACCACGAGTGGGGGCAAAATAAGGTACTGACAAGACCGCGTTGCGTATTTTGATCAGTGCATGCGTTGCTTCCGTGCTACATAGGAAAAACATGGGCGGCGAAGGGATGAAGCGCGCCGAAATGCCACGTCTAAAGTTTCGACGGCAGACGCTGATAGCGGCAGCCGCATGTATCACATCTCGCGCTAAATGTTTCACGCTCCGCACTGGTGCTCGTCTAGGATGAGGATGGCGCGAGGTTTTACAGACGGACGGTGGCGTGGCCGTAGCAAGCAGGGTAGGCATGTGCCCGCCATCATCAGGGGTTGAAAAAATGCACACGGCGTCTAGTGGTTCCAGCATCAACAAAGTCGTTTTGCATTGTTTTCAAGGGGGCTATTTCTCGTTGCTTGCCTCGATTATTGCCGCCACAGTGGCTGGCTGGGCCACCCCGTTGTACACCTCTTCGGAAGGCCTCGTCAAAATGTTGGGACCGAGGCCGCACCTGTCTTTCCGGAAAGACAAAGCGATAGTTCGTATGAGCGACTTGTTAATGTTGTGGCTTCTGAAAGGTACAGTAGCACACCTTTTTGCGAAGAGTCGATTGGGAGGGCGCAAAAAAAAAGGACAGGAATGACGTTGGATCGTAACGTTTCAGCAACGTTGTGCGGAGGCAGCAGTCAGTGCCGCCAACAAGGGCCGCAGAGCCCGCATCGTCATCGAGCGGTAGGCGGAGAGGCGGGTTAGGTTTCAATGGAATCGGGGGCAAAAGGCTCACCATCTGCCATGGGTACATGTAGGATCCCAACGAAGACGGCCAGTAAATATACCGTAGGTGACGTATGATATCACAGCTCGATTGCTCCACGACGAGGATGACGCATGGATGAACGATATTGCGTTTGTTTTCGGAAATCTCTCGGCGAGATGGTTCCAACGCCGCCGTTTTCGGCACCGCAACTTTCCTCTGCTGTGGAGGAATCGAGCTCTATAAAAATCGGTCCACGGGGTGCGATATCGTATGTCACCGACAGTTCGATACTGCTACAGTAGAGGTCCCTGTTTAAGGCCGAAAATTTAAGGCCGGTGGCCCTGTTTAAGGCCGGTGAAGTCGCCTGCCCCAAATGCCTTCCTTTTTTTTAAGGCCGCACAGGCCTTAAAAAGGGATGGTCCCTATTTAAGGCCTGTTGGAACCTCCTCCCACCCTATTTTAAGGCCGGTTTTGGGGTGATGCACGCAGGTTCGGCCGCATTATTTTCAAGCCACAACACAGCAGCTCTGGACATCTCCACACACACAACACACAACAGCCTAGCGTACCCCTACCGACCCAACCAGTCTTGGACCACGACATATATGTTGACCAGTTACAGTAATGTACAGTAGGGTAGTCACCAAGAGGGAGGCACTTGGTAATTTCTGTTGTTATTACAGATTGACGGGTAATAACATTTGGAAACGTGCAAACATTATTTGACACGCTGTGTCGTCATTCAGTACATACATACGTAGCAGTGCCATGTGGTGCACATCCAACGCGGCGCTGTGGCACTGTGAGTGAGTGATATACACCCCTGCTGGCTTTCAGACATGTTTGAACCGGCCCGCTTCCCGCATAGCCTTGAGTGCGCTGCACTATTCCTCAATAAGGCCGGTACCGGCCTTATTGAGGAATTCATAATCCTGTGTAAGGCCTGTACCGGCCTTAAACAAGGGCCGTTTCCAGTAAGGCCGGGTGCCCTGTTTAAGGCCGGTTTGTACCTTCCACACTATGCGGCCTTAAACAGGGACCTCTACTGTACCGACAAGGTCATGTGCAATCTAACTCCTGACCGCCATGCTGTTGTGTGTTGGCGTCATTGAAGCTACATAAGTAAACTGCTATATTGACCCTATCGAGACATGTCGAACGCATCTGATCTACCGCTGGGGCTGCGTCGAACGGCCGGTGGGTGGGTGCAAGAAACAGAAACACGAGCAAGGACAACGCGCGCTTCGTCCTCCCGAACCAATCCTCCGCTGTCCTCCAGCGTTGTCTTCGGGGGATAAGTTGGTTGGTGCTTGTCTAACCCTGCTACCTGGCTATGTGGCCCCATAGACCTTGAAGGGTTTCCAACGAGGCAACGCCGACCTTTTCCCACTGTACAAGAGGGAGACCCAAAGACAACGTAGACTAAACTCTTCTTCTTCTTCTTCTCACCGGCCTTGGCACCCAGTCTCGAGAACCTTGATGTCTCCCGGAGGGGCGAACGCCCTAAAAGTGTCGACTGTCCAACGAGACCCTGCCTGCCCCAGCCCGGAGTTCATCAACGAGAGTGACGGAGGTGGGGCGAGGGGGGAAAAAGCTCTTCCCAAATCAAGCAATTGACACATTCTGTCGTTGGCTTATCCGAGTCCTCTTGTGCTGTTGACCTCACAGAGTGTTGAAAATGGCGTTACAACCTCTACAACCTCCACGTAGAGGTCCTTGTGTAGCGCCGGTTATGTGCCCAGAAACATTCACCCGCACTATTGCAAAGCACAGAATGACTTTGTAAATTCGGTGTGTGCCCGCCATAAGCACTGGCACTATACCGGCAACCGGCACTATTCAACCGGCACTAAACAGGGCCCTATACTGCTGTATCCCCTCTTGGGGGGGGGGGGGGTTGCTGCCGGCGTCACCGAGCCTACCGAACTCCAGAGGTTATTGCGGGTTGTGTCAAGTTGTGTTGACATTTCAATTTTTGTACCCTAGAAAACAAATGTATTCGGACCTGACGTCGAAGTCAGCGGGGCTATGACCAAATGCTACCAATGGCCAACAGAGACCATCTACATCATGAGCTCATCGATATGCATACTTTCGCGGATTGGACGATTGGACTGTGTGTATGCATACTTTTTTTTTTTTTTGCCAAATATTAAGATTCCGAACCCAAGATTCCTGGCACGCAAAGAGTAGTCCCAATGATCAGATGATGAGTCGTCAGTCAAACCAGCATAAACGGTAGCGCTACTTTGTCGACTCCTGTCCTTTACTTTCGAGGCATCATCTACTGCCACAGGGCTTGCCGGGCCTACAACAGCAGTGAGGACCTGTAGTCGCACACGACAAGGCGTTGTGTAATCATCATGTGCCCTCTGGACTGTCCAAGACGACGTGTTCTCCCAAGACCAAGTGCCGATACAGCAGCAATTGAAGTTGAACCACACCTCCAGACTACATACACTATACCAAACGCACCTTCCGACATGACGTGTTCGTGCAGACATGCACCGTGCCCTTGGTGCTCATGCTAGAAGAGCAGAAGGCCACAGCAGCAGGAGCAGCAGGAGACACCGCCATGAAGAGAGCAGCGACTTGGCAGCATGCTGATATTGCCCACCTCACATGTTCACTGATCGCCATGTTGAGGGTCAAGCACTGCCGCCTCTTGCGGTGCACGCAGGGAAGTGGTGTGCGCGATAGGTTGAGAGCGAGACGGTGGCCTTCGCACACGCGCCAGGCTTGCACACGCAAAGGACACTTCGAACGCAGGTCTATGTGTCTATGTGTGCTTGTCACCCCGGTGTGCGGAAACGCCTCCGACGTTGCGGCGCAACTACTGACGTACTACTGTGGAGCGAACTGCAACTAACTGTAGCAGTGACGGCACAGATACGATCTTTCTCTCTGTCTCTCTCTCTCGCGAGAGTTTGTGAACGTTTGTTATTTAGTTATTTATTATTTACACACTGCCTTGTTCCTGTATCCTCAGCCCACTAACACCGATCCATTCTCTCGTGGAAATATGTATGCTCATGCCCACGCACAGCAGTAAGGTCAAACAACAGAACAGCAGTGACGCGAGAGCGCACCAACAACGGTCGGCAAGTAGAGAGGACCGCAGCCGAGAGTCTTTCGTGTTCAAAGCACCGATACATTTGAAATGTCCATTTTGGTTGGATGTACACCAGTAGGTTGCATAGTCTGGTCGTCGTGCAGTTTTTATTGCAACAAATGCCGTGCACAGCAGTCTTTGGTGCGGGTTGTGTAACTACTTCCTACACTATTTACACGTCATACCTACCCTCCCTCGAGAACCAACAACGCGTGGACAGCAAGGTAAATAGCAGCCGTTTCTGGTCTCCTGAGAGATGATGGCAGTCAGCGCCCCTCCCAACCCTCCCCTTCTCCCAGCGCAGCCGCGGCAGGAACATCGTGTATACCGTCGTCCGTCACCACAAAAAAATACGGCCTCGATTCGCCATCCCGCCCCGCACTGTTACCACCAACTCGCCCCGCCCCCGCTGCGGCTGCCTTAAAAGAACCGCCTCCGCCACCGTAGCTACCCTTCGCTGGGCGAAGACTCAAAACTCGAGCCGTGAAGAGCGACAGGGCCCCCCCGCCGCCGCTCGATTGCGAAGGCGGGCGGGGCGATGGTGGGCGCTTCTGTCTTCGTCGCAGGAGGACCCTGAATGTGACCGCGCGCTGCCATATCTGCGGGAGGTACTCCCTGTGCTCCGTCGCCGCGTTCCCTCTGCTGTTGTTGCTGCTGCTGTTGTTGTTGCCACCGTTCCCTCGAGGCAAGAACAGAGCTGGCAAAAAAAAAAAATGAACGTGAGGGGGGGCGGAAGAGGTTTCTTCGGTGGTCGGGAGGGGGACGGTAAAGGGTGTCCCTCCTTTAGAATGGTGGAGCGCTTGTAGTCGTCAGGTAAAAATGAGGGTGGTACACTTGCCAAGTCCCCCCTCCCCCTGGCGCCCCCCCCTGCCCCCCCCCCATCTCCATAACCCTTTCCTCCTCGCCTCTCTCTGCCGAAACAAGGACCCGTCCATTGAACAAACGTGCGTGCCTAGCCCCTGTTACAGGTCCTTACCGTTCTTCGCAGCAAAGAGGACGACCGGTCGCTCCATTGTTAGCCGCACGAGGGCCTTCGCCACGATCCCCTGCATCGAGACAGCCTCTCCGCCGCAACTCTGGGCCATCTGCACTTGTTTTGTGTTACGGAGAGAGTCACGACCGCAAGGAAGGAACGTACAACAACAACACGTAACCATTAACGACATCCATCCATGTCAGACCGACAGATGCTTCGCAGAGTGCTTTTTTGGCAAAGGCAGATGCGACAAAAAAAGTGTGAGTCAGAACGCACCAATTGCCGTTTTGAGGCTTGCTGTCAACGACGTGGTTTCACTTCAGCTTCGGCTAGACGGAGGCCTGTCCCCTCACGTACTCATTTTGCAGAGGCGGGAAAGAAAACAACGCACGGACACAGGGAGCACCACGCTCGAACACGTTCGTTCATGTTTCCAAGGGCAACAGGGCACGGAGTACTAAAAAACTACAAGACGATGTCATTGACTTTGCATAGTTACTGCAGTGACCGGCCTTGTCAGGGAGAAATCACTCATTTTGGCGCGGACCGAGGGCCGCAACCGTTGTGTGACCGGACGAGAGAGAAACGACTCCTTTGTGTGGCTGGACGAGAGAGAAACGACGACAACTAGGATAAGACATCCCGACTGAGGTTTTGTCTCGGACGGGGAGTCTCTCTATGTTTGTAAGTGCATTTTCTGATACCACAGACGAGAGATGAGAGAAGAAGTGCATGGTACCTTGGCTAGAATCCCCCTCTCTGCCACCACTCATTACCATCGTCATCAGTCATTGCGCGTTCGTGGTGTGTCATCACCACACCTTGTCCTGCCAGAAAAAGGAGCCCATCCCGTCAACGACTACGACTGCCGGCCGGTGCCCCAGCTCGAACCTCAACACCTCAATCGCGGCCAGGAGCTCGAACAGCCCGGCGGGACGGACGACTCGGAGTCGCCGAAGACACCCAATCAACACGTCCTTGGCGCGGCCACGTTGTGCGCGAAGGGACAGGAGGAGTGGCGAAAACATCGTAGAGAACGCAACACCCACAACCACACACACGATAGAAAGACAGAGACAGAGACAGAGACAGAGACACACACAGAGACAGAGAGAGAGGAAGACTTGAGAGTACCACCGTGTGGAGCAACTGGGCTTACCAAAGAATCCACATTAACTAGGGGGCTGAGATCGCAACGAACGGGATTGTTTGCTTGATGCCAGCCGACTCGAGCGACCAGGGTCCAAAGCGAGGTGGTTTAGTGGACCACTAGCCCCGCTTTCGGGAGGACTCCCCACGTAATGCCTGTGCTATAGGAAGGAATCCGCTACCGTTACCTCTAAATCGCTCTGGAGCTGCTGCGGGCGTGACGAAGAAGCGTGGGTCGTCCCACCTCCACCACCGATACCCCCCGAGGCGCTCTTGACCTGAAACGTCGTGTTGTTCGAGATCTTCCCCTTGAGGAGCTGCTCCAGTCGCAGTATGCTCAGCCTGCCGTCTGCGAGACGAGCCCGTTCGGTCGTCCGATCCGACAGGTAGTGCCACCGTGTCCGTGCACGCAGCAGCAGCAGCAGCAGCAGCAGCAACAGCAGCAACAGCAGCAACGGCAGTAGACATCACGCCACACGAGAAGGGAAGACCGGAGGAGCAGCGGGTCAGGGGTATAACACCGAAAGCAAAATGATGACCATGCTCACTCAGCCCCCAACGTCGTCGTCTCGAGAATAAAACAAAACACATGGGTTGTCTGATCGGCGACTGTTTCAACGGTGCGTCAACATCACACACGCAACCACGCGACAAGGCCAGAGAGATGTTAGAAAGGCTTACCCATTAGACTACTCAGTCAGCCGCTGGGGCTGACTGAGTAGGGCTGACTGAGTAGTCTAATGGGTAAGCCTTTCAAACAAAATATATGCTCAGAGCTCGTTAGCACCCGGCTGGGACACATGGGCTTGTGAGTGAGTAGAGATCTCCGAGGCCGGACCCCTCGCCAGACGCTGATCGGTAAATAATATGATGATTCTTTTGTAAGTGGACCACTGGGATTCGAGCCCGCGCGTGGAACCTTGTGTAAGAACGCTTTGACCATTAGACCACTAAGTCGAGGGGTCCGTCCCCGGAGATCCCTACTTCTAAAAATCCCAGTGACCAGCCGGGTGGCAACGAGCCGAGAGTATATCGTTTGTTAGTAAGGCTTACCCATTAGACTACTCAGTCAGCGCTGACTGAGTAGTCTAATGGGTAAGCCTTTCTAACAAGAGAGGAGAGGTTCCAAGCAAAGACGTGCGTGAGAGGTGGGGTCGCTGTCCATCCATCCTTCTCGTCTACTGCGGCCGTGGCACCGCGGTATCCTACGGATGTACGTCGCGGTCAGTAACGCCGGATAGCTATGTGGTCGCAACCAAAAACAACATGTAACTACGGCATGGTCGTGCTGTGCGGGGCGCAGACGTACGTGAAAATGCCGGTGCAGGACACGCAAAAAAAACGAAAGTGGTAACACGCCTCTCTCTCGAGCAACTTCTCGCGGTAACGAGGATACACCAGCGACATACTTGCACAGCACACACACCAGGCATAGCCACGACTGCACAGCAGCAGCAGCTCACCTTCGGAAGGAAAAACCATTACCGTTTCACCACCTCACACTCCTCAGGTAACTTTGTCTGTACAGCAAGCAGGCAGGTCAATGGCACCGACCGCCACACCGCCGCCGTGGACGTAGCAAACGTCACTGGCTCTTTAAGGAGACCTTCAAGGAGTCTTGCGTGATTCGGGCGATATTAGTCGTATTTCCGAGGGGCACGCAGACCTTCCTTTTTTCATCACAGCTCGCACTCCCGTATTTATAACCGCCCCCGGGTGTTGTTGTCATCATCATGATCACGACTGCTCAACTCACCGTTGTCGAAAAACACCGCCGGTCGCTCCTCCCCGCCCAGCCAAGCCGGCATCACGCACCGCGCGACCACGTTGATCAAGACCTCCGACTTGCCGCTACCGCTGGGGCCGTACAGCTCCACCACGTCCCCCCGCCCGACGCCCTTGTCCTTGGTCTTGCTGCCGCCACTTCCTGCTGGCACCTTGTGTTGTACCGTGTTTCGTCGGTGGTGAAGGTGACCAAAAGTGGCGGGCTCAACCATTGTAATTTGAGTAGATATACTGTACTTTTGCAAGGGTAAGTTTTAGCCTGTGACCACGAAAATCGGTCCAGGGGGTGTGGTATCTCGCGTCATGTACAATATGTTCTTGCTTCCATTACACAAGTAAACGGGCCTACATCTACTTCGAAGCAAAAGAGTGGAACGGCTGTCTCTGTGTACAAGAATCTACCATCTTACTGCAAATACGCTGTAGGGCGGAGGGATCAGCTGAATATCTTCAACAGAACGGGTGGTGTGCATACAATCGTATTTTGAATTTTGAACTGCCAAACCACATCTTTCCAGAGGCGCATTACATGTGCTCTGGAACCAAATCGTCATACAAGTAGTCTAGCAGTATACCGCTGTGGGTAACGTATTGTAGGAAAAGTTCCGACGATACACACCCTGCTCTTGCGGCGGTGCCAGTTCACGTGTGTGTATCATGCCACGGATGCCTACCCACGCAGATTGGATTCAATCATTGTTGTGAACTTGTCAAGCGGGGGGAGGAGTGATACGCGGGGTGAATCCGTACCGTACCTCGTCGAAAAAGGCCAGTCCAGTAAGCAATGGCTTATGATTTGCTCTCCTGAATAGTTCCAGAGCCGTCTCATCGTCTTGCACGCTCAGCGCCATCATGCACTGCCTGCTCGTGCTGTGGCATTCCAAAGCAAGCAGCAAAAAAAGCGAGAAAGCGAGACAGAAGCGAGAAGCACCAAGCAAGGGGAACCGCGGACGAGGAACGACATATGTAATCCCAGGTACCTCACCCTCCGTTTATCCATTTGTTGCCCCCCCGTGCACCGTTCACTTGTTGTGCTCTTGTGCTTGCACTTGTCGTTTGGACCACTGCACTGCAGTAATGAAGTACAAAAATAGGAGAGCATGTACCCATTGTTAGGCAGGTTGTGTGTATGGACGTATGGACACGCCAAAAAAAATTGATAAACTAAATGTGCCGAACCGTCAGGAGTTTATCCGAAAAGCTTCAACGAACCGGCAACAGTTTCCAGCCGGTTTTCCTCCACTCACTGAAAATACTCCACCACATCCCGTTCGACTGTGAGTATATCTCGAATGGGTAGTCTTTCTGTGCGTGTATTTATTTTTCCTTAATTTCTTTCTTTGAGGTGGCGTTCTGCGGGTCGAGGCCTGCCGACCAAGCACCACCTGGTTTCAGTCAAAAACCACCCCCGTAAAACCCTGTGAACACTCTGTCCACTACTGTCAACGTGTCACGCGCATACTCGTCAACTTGTCGTTCGCATGACGTACAGTCGTGATATTCGAACGTATTGCGACCGTTTGCATGTGAATCGGAGCTCCAACCAAGCCAAGACCCGGTCTCGAGACATCAGCTCGAGAGACAGAGAGCGAGAGAGAGAGCGAGAGAGAGAGAGAGAAGACACCGGGATACAGCTCAGGCCTCCGTGAGTCGTCACGTACGTACGCGAACTGAGAGCGAAGGCAAAAGGTGAGAGTTTCAAACTTTTGAACGCTATTACACCATGTACGGGCTGAAGAAGCATGTTCTCATTCATATTGATTGTTGTCGTTGTTGCTCTTGTGTCGTCTTCGCAATTTTTTTTTTTCGTTCCTGCTCATTCAGACCGAACCCACGGAAATCTGCCTTGGTACTTGGTATGAAGTAAGTCGTCATGTTCTTGATTTTCGATACTCGTCCAAAATCCACCATAATCCCCCCGGCGAGTCTTGTATTGGACTTCTCTCGGCCCCCTTCCTTGCCGGGAAATTCGGAGGTGCGCGCTTATTCTATCGCGCTCAATGGATCAGCCGAAGAGTCAAATAATGTATGTACGCTTTGAAGGGACAGACAGCAGCCAAAAAACGCAATTATTTGGTGCCGATCGTGTGCCAACCGAAGACAGGGTGCCCACACAGTTGGAACCGGTGTGGTGTGGACAATGAGTTCCAGAGATCATCATGTCGTTCTGCTGCATGGCGCACCCGACAGAGATTTACACCACTCGTGTCGGCCGGAAAAAAAACTGCATGATGCATCACACGCGTCCGCTGCACCCGTCCGTACCTCTGTCCGACTTGATGACAAAAGGACCCCATCGCGGAGGGGAACAAATCACTTACATACCTCTCGAACTCTGAGCGTAGCCATGCGATTCAAGCTGCCATGCCCTTGAGGGAGTTGGAGAAACGATGCGTGTCGCCCAATACATCCGGCTGCACAACAAGCAGAGAGCGGTGGGCACTGCGAACAAACCGAAAAACATCCATTTTTCTTGCGAGTACGCCGCTCCTCCCGTCCTCCCTCAACCACCACCATCGTACACACGATATCACCACCCAACATTCCAACAACCGTACCCATCACTCCCTTCTCCGTCTCTCCTTTGGCCCCATGTCGGGGCTTCGAACAAGCACAGGCCTCTGCTCTCCCCTGCCTACAACAGGCCATCCACCAATGTGGTAGTCTACGCACAGCATCATTACTACTGCTGTTACTCTTGTTGACCTGCGACACCCAGCAAACAAAGCCGCCACGAAAGCTGCTGCCGCCGCGCCACACAACAACGCCGCTACGCGAAAGGAGAAAAGCGTCTCAAGCACTCCACGAGGGCCCTCGTCTTGGGGTGGCCCTCCCCGAGACAAACGGCGGCGACCTTGATCGCCTCCTCGAGGCTGTCGCGCGACGCCCGCGTCAGCTGCTCCGCCCGGCGGTAGCTCCCCTCGACCCTCGCGTCCGCCGCCCACCGCAAGGCCTCCCGGTGCATCGTGAAGCGGAGGTCTGCGGTGTAGCCGGTATCGAGGCCTTGGCGCTATAAAGAAAGACACACACGCATAAGGACAGACAGACGTTCAAGCACATCACGACGCCCATGCGGCGCACACGGCCCGCATGCTGTCTTGGAAGGAATGCGAGGAAGGGAAAGCTGGGCAATCGCACCGGAAGTTGAAAATAGGTAAAAGCCCCGTCTTGGAATTCGCAGCGGAATGAGCAAAGCACAAAAACACCCACACGCCTCACACCGGCCGAGCGCACCCAACCGCTATTACAAATAATAGACAGAAAAGGCGTAGCATATCCAATAGACTACAAGTCAGGCGTATACAGCATACCCAATAGACTACAAGTCAGCCAAGTCAACCTCTGGCTTGTAGTCCAGCTGGCTTGTAGTCCAGCGGATGCGCTGAACACCTTAACACGGTTGGCTCTCACTCTCTCTCTCTCACCACTAGCCTATCCGCCAGCTCCTGCGCCGATCGGAACCGGAGAGAGCCGTGCATCCTCCGACGAGTGGCCACCTCGTCGATGCGCATCGCCAACTGCAGCTGTAAGCGGGAGGACAGGTCGGGCCCCGCCAGGAGCATCTGCAGACCCTGCTCTAGCTGTGCCCGCAAACCGGCCTGGATCTCTCGTACGCTGAACAACAAACGAAAAAGGCGTTATTTTCCGGGGCGGGGGGAGGGGTTCGGGGGGGTACCAACGTTTGTTTATTGTGTGCTTTGGGAATGGGGCAGCGTAGGCGGGCTTCGGGACCGCTAGGTGTAAAATGTATGAGCGCGTGAGGGTGCTGAGGCCGGGGCCCCGATCGGTTCGTTGATCGATTCATCAGGCGTGTACGGAGAGAATATCATCGTGCATGACGAGAGGATACGTGGTCCTCGACGGGAACCGACAAGAACACCATTCGTACCTACCGAAATATTTACTTGCCGGAAAACGCGTCGAGATCTTCGCTCGCTCACCTTCTGTTTTGCGCGTTCTCCAACAAGGCTTCAATATTCTGCAGCATCTTAGTCACTCGCCAGTCTCCCGAGGAAGCCCCCGGCTTGGTGTCGTCCTCGCACCGCGGGCAGTCGCACGAGAAGCCCCACACGTTTTGCAGCAGCTCTCGGCGACCCTGGTTATAGCGGCGGCAGGCGTGGACGAGGCCAGGCGCACAGACGGCCGGGGTTTGGCACCGACCGACGATTCGGCACAGCACAGCATGTCTGCCGAGCACGACCACACACGCAATTTGTCTTCTCGAAGAGCAAACAAAACATTAGCGCAAGCCACGTGGATTGGCTGCTTGTTTGCTTCTTTGGCCGAGTAACTGAGGCCGACCTCTTGCTGTGGTTAACTGACGCACCACTAGACGTCTGCGTCTCCTATTTCCGACCACGTGCTCTGCTTCTTTCCTCGACCCGCACTTTCTGCATCCCAGCACACACCGTAGGTTAAACAAGATATCACACCCCCTGGACCTATTTTCAAAACTCGAACACTCGACGACGAAGAGGCTGCCACAATCAAATGATAAGTTGTCGGAAGTGCTCTTGACGAGGCGGTTCCAAACGCCGTCAATTCGGGCAGCGTAACTGTTATAGCTGCAGAGTTCCCAAGCTTTGAAAATCGGCCCAGAGAGAGAGTGGTGCCTAAGTGCAACCTACGGCACGGATCGAGGCCCTTGTTCAGCCTCACCTCAGTCGAAGAAACAACCCGGAGGACGGCACGACATGCATGCCACGAAAGGGGGAGCAAATACAACAGTTTCGTTGCAACGACAAAGACATAAAAAAATCCACCACCTTTGGCACAGCAGTATGAAGGAGCCATTGGCCATCGGTAATCGGTCCCGTGGGAACAATGCCTCGTCCTCTCGAGGACCGCGTGGTCTAACCGGTAAAGGCATGCAAAGCAACTTGAGAGTACGCCCCCCCACCTCCTTTGTCGCCGCATCCGCACAGTGGGCCAAGTAAGACACGCAGACCTCCTCCCCCGCGGAGACGTCTGTTGTGCACCTTAGGGCCAGCTCCAGCGGCGGCCCCTCGGGGCCCGCGCGGCGCGAGTGGAAGCAAGCGTTCGGCTCGCAAGAATGGTTCACCAGAGACGCCGCGGGGAAGACACCGACCACGGTGGGCGGAAGGAGCCTGCCCAGCGGTTCCGGCTGCACGGTGTGGAAATTGCGGCGGAGCCTGGAAGGAGGGGGAGGGGGAGTACGGTGGTGAGCTCATTGGACTGGGGTCGGGTGGGATGGAGTGAGAGAGCGGGGGGCGCCCTCCATATGTGGTACTATTCTACCATGAGCACAAACCAAAAGGACAACAAAAGGTGGGTGGTAGCACGAAGCGCGTCCTGTTTTCTGGCCAACAGAACCGGAGCGTCCATTCCCTCAGTCGGAAAGCCTTGGCTTAGATGCTCCATCCAACAGCAGTTTGATCAATCAAGACCAAGTCCGAGACAGAGGCATCGGTTGCTCCCGAAGTACTTAAGGCACCTGCAACACCCATCGACTCCCCGTTGTCTTCCTTTCTAGAGGAACAGGGGTGGGACAGGGGTGGTGTGTGGCAAACGTAGAGAGGCAGATGGACGTGGCTACTGCGTGGTTGTTGGTGCCTGTACTCTGTGCCCGTAGGTTTATCTGTGCTGCCGTGGCACATCGTTTCGCCGTTTAGAACGAGTCAAAGAGACAAGTCAACAGCGGGGGCGGCGGGGCAATTTCCGTCCGACGGCCTCCAGGAAAGGCTGTGCTAATCTCTCCCCCTCCACACGAAACCTCGCCAGTAACACCTCGCGTTTTTCTACTGGACGAGCTCCATACGCACAGAGACGAGCTCAGCGCGCACTCAGGATATATGTCAAATCGACATTTCCAAAGATCACCAGTTCTTCACCAAATTTTCTTACCCCAAAGTTCAAATGCCTAAACCGCACCACATGTACACTACACACACGACTCCATCGAGTCAAGCAAGATTCGGCGGCGAGGTATATCTCGAAGCGGTCCGATCATCAAGTAGCCCACTCCGCCATGACGACAAGAGAAACGCCTCGGGAGAGACAACGAAAGAAGGGTACGTTTGAGGGAACCATGTGGCCCACCCAGGACACGAGATTCTTGAGAACAGCAGCGTCCATTCCCACAACCCCGTCAAAACGAGAAGCTTCTTGATTTGCGACTCGCCGAATACGTCACGGCGCTTCGCGCTTGGTGATGTGAGAGCCTGGTCCGGTGATAAACCCGGCGTGCTCCGTCCCGGCCTTGTAGGGACGCGAGGTCAATGGTCTAACGACTACGGCATGCACGACTATGAGTACACCCCAACCCTCTCACACACAAAGCTCTTGCCTGCGATGCACTGTCTGAATCTCCTCCGCGGACACCTCCAACCCCCCGTCGTTCAGCCTGGCCTGGGCTTCTCGGATCACGTCGGGCTCCAACGTACCGCCGCCGCTGCCCTCTCCTCCACCCTCGTCTTCCGGAAGAACCAAATCGTCGATCTCAATCCACTCCTCCTCGTCGCTAAGCCCGGCCCCTCTCCTGGACATGCACTCTACCGTCAGCCTAAGGATGTCCGTCTCCGTCGCCGCGGCGTTGTCTCCCCGCCCCAGCTCCGAGAGCTGCTCCTCCCCTAGCCCCTCGACCAGTCCGCAGGTCACCTCGTGTGTGCCTTCCCCGGCCGCCGCTATCACGCACTCCTTCCCGCAGAAACGGTCCTCGCAACGCCGGCACTTGATGAGCAGGGACTTGTCGAGCAGGGTCAGGCAGCGCCGGCAGAAGGCCGGCCGGTAGCGGTCTCGGGGCAGGGCGGCCGCCTGCTTCGCGACCAGTACCTCGGTCCCGGCGGGCACCGCCTCCACGGCGAAGATCCCGCGGCCGCGCTTCGGGCGCGCGGGGTTGCGCCGAACCTGGAAGCGCGGGTCGAGCTGGCCTCTGCGACGAGCGCAGCTGCCGCCGCCGCCGCCGCTGCTACAACCGCTGCCATGTTTGCTGCTGCCGTTGTTCTTGCTGTTCGGCTCCGACCACGTTATGCGGGCGTGTCGGTAGGGTACGGTAAGTGGGAGTGTTCGCCCTGCGGTGGCTGTTGGTGAGGCGGTGTCGCCGTAACTGATGGTGGTGGAGCTGCTGCCGATGTCACCACCGTCACCGCCGCCGCCGCCCCCGCCGCTGCCGGTCTCGGAGGTCTCGGCCACGACTTGGGTTTGGCTGCCGCCCGGAAACCCCATCGCTCGAGCACCGATGCTTGGAGATTGGTTCGATCGGAGGAGTGCCTCTGTCATGAAGCCGAATGCCACGGTCAAGTCTTTGACTGTCTTTGGTTATTGGGGAAGGAGAGATGAGGGGGGCGAGACAGAGAGGTACAGAGAGCGACAGAGACAAAGGGAGAGACAGAGGGAAGGAGAGAGGCGGGGATGGGGGGTTAAAGCGATGGAAATTGCGGCGCTTTCTCCCGAATCTAAAAAAAAAAGACGTCAACGTTGAATTTCCGAGTTCTTCAAGCCCGTCCTCGGTAATTTTTCCGATATAAATGCACGTCAGTTTCCGTTCGTCGTGTTACGTTGATAAAGCGGACACTTACTGTACGGTTCCCATCCAAGCCATTGCCGTGTACGAATGCTGGGTTAACATATGTAGCGCGGGTAGGTCAGGAAAGCGGTTCGAATCCCAGTTCCCTCGTCTTGAGATAGTTGTCACTAACTTTCTTTTTCTCTTTTACAATTTTGTTGTATTCCCGAACAGAGAATCCTTTCTCCATGATTTGCATGAGGTTTGGCGATCGACAACATACACATGTTTGCATCAAGCGATACACACGGAAATACGAAAGCACACAAGCAGAGCGATATGGGCGCTTGTAGTGAGGATTCCGGCGGTGTTCTCTTGGAGGTGGCTGCTCCGGCTACTGTTTTCTACCTTCTTTTCATGCAAACACTTGGTTGGTTGACTGACGGTGTGCCGCTTCTGCTCGGTGAATGTGTCGCGCACGTTGGTGCAATGACCACACGCTGGAGAAAAAACATGAAAATACCGGTCAGCAGTGCATATAATACCAATCACCGTATGGAATTGACCGCGGCGGCCAGATACCGTACAAAAATCGCCGTGCCCTACCGTGGAGTCTGGTTAAGCCGTTGTGGCAAACATTAACGAGGGCAGCCCTTGAATTTTCTTCCCCTGCAGTCAGTAGCACCTATACACAGACATTGCTTGTATTCCGATACGGAACTTAATTTTCCTGTTTTTTAACTAAAAATGAAGTAGAGTGTATCGACACGGCAGGTGTCGCTGCTGTAGGATCAGTAGAAGCACAGTCAGCAGCCGGCATGCGACACTATCTTTGAATCTATCGCGGAGAGATCAATGGGTTCCGTTCCAACCTTGCCATGGACCTGGTACAGCTCCTACTTCGGTTGTATGCAATACAATATGCGTAATGTAGAACACAGGTATTACAGCAGCCCGAGTTCGCACTATTACTCTTTGCTGTACCCGCTACCATTACGTAGAGAAACACCATTCATCACTATCCACGAACTAGCTGTGTTGTGATGCTTAGATGCAGGGCATAAGCATAGACTAAAAACAACATGAGTTTATCCATAGGTGTGGTGGTGGTGGTCCTGGCGAGCGGTGTCACTCCTAGACTACCAACTACGCTAATGTTTTGCAGACCACACCACTTCTGGCTGCTACTGCTGTACGCGCACTGCTGTACGAGCCAAGATGAGGTCCCGAGTCTGATCCTCGAAGCCAGCATCACGGGCGGTTTGTTAGTCAAACTAGAATAACCTCCCTCATCGAACCAGAAACACCTCTCATCTACACAACAGAGGAAGACAACAGCAGATGCACGGCAGTGGGTCACACAGGCCTATTGTACCTACAGCAGAGAGACCGAGCACACACACACACATCGGTACCCGGTATGATATTTACACACGGAAAACACAGACACAGCATACACTTGCTGGCTAGACCGATCGGCCCGGAACCAACACGCACCGTACAAACCCACCTTAGCCTCTCCGTCCTGGGCCCGCTCGGCTCTTTCGCTGGGTTGCGACGGCCGTGATTTCGCTGCTCGCGGAGACTCTGCAACTGGTACTGCTAAGTCGTCGACCTGGGGGGGGGGGAGGGGGGGGGGGGGAATACACGAACAAAGTTTGACCGACCAACACGTCCTTTGCCACGCAGCTCTCCCGTCTGATATTTCGGTGTGGTTGGTCAAGGGCCCACCGAACGTTCATGTTCCTTGCCCAGGATCTACAGGCCGGCTGAAGTTGGCGTTGCGAGTCCCAGTGTTCGAGCACTTCTATTTGACAGGAGAAAAAGAATAATCTCTCGTCGAGAATCGGGCGATACATCAACCACTAGGTAGATACATTACCTACATGTAGAACGAGGCGGAAGGGAGAAGGGCCGCAGAGTTGCACCAAGGTCCTGTCTCAATTGCAAGACAGTGGTGGAGCTGGAGCCAGAGAAGATCACGAGGGTGGCACACTCGCAAGCGCACGGCTTGAACCACGAGCCGATACGCCTTCAGTCTTGGCTTATACGACCTCGATCAACCGTAGTAGTCTCTTGTCTGAGGGAAAAACAACTCTGGTATCTCCTGGGGGGACCGGGACGATGATGCCATCTTCTCTGCCGTGGCGGTCGGGGCTGGGTGAATCGTTCGGTCCCGGACGTGTTCGAGACGGTGGTGACGGCAAGGTCGGAAAACAGGGAGGAATCGACAACACGACGACCAACCGCATTAGCATTAGCAGCAGCAGCAGCAGCAGCAGCAGCAGCAGCAGCAGCAGTGGCGTGGAGACCGCTGAGCAGTATGGTCACGACGAGGATGGGAGCAGCTGTAGGATACCGTTCTCTTGCGCGTCTAGCAGGGGCGCCGTCGCGCACCTTTCAGAATGCCAAACCCCATCTTTATTCACCTTGCCGAGGAAAGATGGTCAAGGAAGCTGCGATGGCGCGACTTCCTTGCGGTACCCTTCAACAATGCAGCGAACACGTCCGTCTGAGAATACGACCCCAGGGTTCGACCTGGTCGGCACTATTTTGACCATGCCGCAGTCGCCTGTGTCGAGCATGTCAAGCCTTCATTTCTCCGAAGAAAGGTATATCGTCGACCCTTATGGTGCACTCTACAGTTGGTCACAGTGAAATCCATGCGCTCTACCATTCATTGCGTAGGTTTTACCTAAATTACCTGATTGATCAGCCACTGCCGTAGTACTTGGGCAAAGTTGAAAAGTTAAAGTTTCACAAGAGTGGGGGTTTTAAAGTTTCACAAGACGAAGAGATAATCGCAGGTTGAACTCACGATCACGTACAATGTCCTAAGCGCGTATGCTAGACGCAGGTAGCACCCAGTGCAACAGAGATGGTTGAGTGGACGTAGACTACTGTGAAATGTTGACTGAGAATGCACACAACTTCCGCCGCAGCAATTGCAAACTTGTGCTGGACTACTCGCAAGGGATTCAAAAAGAACTCGACGCAACGGACACATATCTTGTCATTGTTTTAGCTACATAGCACGGTTGCACGTGCATGTGAAGATGGACAAACGTCCCCGCCCGTTTCACCCAGTGAGTCTCTCGTGGCTAGCATTGCATCCTCTTCTCTGTCCACCAATTCTCGCGTCCTGTCCGTCGTGTGTCTTTCGTGGTTCCGATAAAAACGCGCGCAGCGGTGGAGAGGGAAGCTTCAGAAGCTGGCTGCGTCAAACACGGAAAACGCGCAATCCAACCGTCTTTGCACAAGGCGGAAAGGATGAAAATGCAATCGTGTCGAAGGTAAGATCATGGTCCTAGATATTTCAACTGCTGGATAAAACGCTGAACCTGCACAACAAACGGATTAGCCAAAAGGTATTAATAACAGATCCCTTTGGAATCTACGTCAATACCGCTTATTAGTCCCACGCGGAGTGTCGCCAAATTTGGAACCCCCATTCATTGCATCCACGTTGACAATAGAGCAGATAGTGTTCTCAACACAGGGTAAACTTATGAAACTTCGTGAGGATACAGGTTACCGTCAGAGACAGGAACCGTTGCCGTTGCAGTGTTCACGTACTGCCAAGGGTGGCTATTTCCTTTCGTGAGATGTAACGAGGAGAGAGGTAGAAAGAGTGACCAGCAGAGGGTAGAGGAAGGAAGAGACAGATCTCAACAATGTGTTACTTGTCTCCCGATGACAAGTTACCCCGATGGATCGTTTCTGCCTACACGTTGTATGTGCACAAACGGTTGGTGATACTTCCGACAGGTGTCCTCCACGTTCGTATGTATTCCAAAGCAATTCCAAAACACGTAGCCTACGGTGTCCTTCGTGGATTCTCTTGCAAACTGACGCATCATCTGCAGGATCTAATTGCGCTCGCGAGGGCCAGGCAGGAGAGGGAAGCTCGCGAAGAATCGGACTCAAGTTCGATTTCCACATCCAAGTCCGAAAGAAGCAACCGCGATGACGGCCGCAGAGGCCAGGTGGTGCCGAGAGGGCCCACAAGAACGCTGACTCTCTCGCCTTCCCGGCGAACTCTTGCAGTAGCTCCTCGCGTGTCGTTCAAGACGGTTGGGTCAGCGGAAGTGTCCCTGCCTCCAAAGAGTCCGCAAAAGCAAACGGTGAAGACCCAAGGTAAAGACGTCCGGCGCAGTCACCTCCGAGCCGATCTTGTTCACGGCAATGATGAGCAGGACAACCTAAAGCAAGTTTTTTTGGGGGGACGAGGTGGCAATGGCGTCGATGTTCGTAAACCGGAACCGGAGAGGAGCAACCCCGATGTATCATCTACAGCAGAGACGACGCGACGCATCGATTCTGCTGCGAACCATAAGTGTATGTCGTCGGTAGACGAGACTCGCGACGAGGAGGGCAAAGAAAACGAGGACGTTTCCATGCTCTCGAGCCAAACGAACGCCTCTTCTATTGGCGGCAGCAGCTCGGCCAACAGGCCTGCCGATCCCATCCCTGTGGACGCCGCCTCTGCAACACAAGTGATGGGGAATGGTCCCTCCGTTGAAGCTACCTGTGTCCTTGCCGACGAGGACGGAGCAGGAGCAGAGTGTACGGCTTCCTACGTAGAGTCCGCGGCAAATCGCTCCTCCACGTCGACGACGATGACGTCTATCAACCAGGGCGCGGATGCGTTCGACATGCCGCCTGCGCGAGACAAGAAAACCTCACCGTTCGAAGACACCAGCAACGTTTTTCCATCCAAAGAGGGAATAGCCTCTATATCTACGAGCAAGGAGACCGCCTCAAGGAGGCTCCA